AGATTTGGTTGTTGTTCAATAATGTGAGGTGACCTTGATTTTAAAGGTTAAAGACGAGTAGTGGAAATATGTAGTATCAATGCTCGAGAACTAGTAAATATTCATACAATAGAGAATCGTATAAACAAGGCAAAATGCTGGTATCCACAAAGTTGTAAGACTCGTGTCTAAATGTCAAATATTGTTGATGACATGATGATCGGAGAGTGGGGGACAAAAGCTTCGATTAACTATAGTAGTTAAATTGATTTAGTACCTGTTTGGTTTCACTAAAAAGTTATATTAAAATATAAGTTAAAATCAATAATTAATTTTAATAATAAATTTCACGGACCCACAATTTGTCAATTACATATTTCATAATTTTTTTATCGAAATTTGTTAAGAATATGATTTTTATCTAAATCAAACATGATCTTAATTTGAATTAATTGTATGAAGATACATTTTCAAAGGGATAATCAACACATATCGTCCTCACCTTTCGCTATTATTGTGGAAAACGTTCTTATCTTTTATTTTTGGCATTTTTACCCTTATTTATACCTTTCATTGTGCAAAATGTCATTTTCATCTATTTTCTCAATTAAAAGCGGAGAAATGACGAACATATCATTCTATTTAAATAAGAAAGAAAGAAAGAACTACAATTATAGTCCCAATTTTTTAAAAAAAGTGCAAACTATCACAAATCAATTATTAAAAGGGTAATTAACACATTATTCACACATTTCACTACTATTGTGAAAAACGTTCATACATTTTATTATTTGGCATTTCATTCTTAATTACACATTTAATTGCGCAAACTATTCTTTCTATTTATTTTCATCCAATTTCTCAATAAAAAGTTGTACAATGACGAATAAACTCTCTTATTTAAATAAAAAAAAATATTTTTTTTAATTTCTAATTTTTAATAATTTATTTGGGACTCGTTTGCAGTATTTTTTAAAAAAATAATTTCCAATTTTTAAATAATTTATTTAGGGCACTATTTTTTGATAAAAAAAAATAATTTATTTGGAACTTGTTTGCACTTTTTTTCATAATTTATTTGGGATTCGTTTACACTTTTAAAAAAAATTGGGACTATGGTTGCAATTAGTTCTTAATTTTTAAAATTTAAATATGAGAGCATATTCGTCATTTTACAACTTTTTATTGAGAAGTTAGATGAAAATTGATAGAAATGATTATTTGCCCAATCAAATGTGTAATTAAGGGTGAAAATGGCAAAAAAAAAAAAAAAAAGATATTGACATTTTTCACAATAATAGTAAAATGTTGGAACATTTTAATAATTTATTTGAGACTCTTTCACACTTTTTTTTAAAAAATTGGGACTATGGTAACAGTTAATTTTTTTTTCCTTTATTTTATTTAAACACGAGGGTATATTCATCATTTCACAACTTTGGAATGAGAAAATGGATGAAAATGACTTTTTGCACAATGAAATGTGAAAATACCAAAAAATGAAAAATAAGAATGTTGTCCACAATAATCTTCCTATATATAAAAAGTACCTATTTAACGGAATTTGTTGGTTTAACGGAAAAACTAACGGAATTTGTTGTTTTAACGGATTATGTAACGGAATTTCTTGTTTTAAACAGGCAGCTGCACCTTCTTTCAGTTTTTTTATCATAACTTTGTATTCCGATATT